TCCATCAAGTAAATCATTTTACTTTCGGCATGCCATTAGGAATTATTACATCAAACTACTGAGTAGGTTAATTCAATCACTTCAGCTCATGTATGAACTCAAGTGAATGAGTAATGAGGACAAAAAAGCAGAAAAAATAGCAATGCACATTATTAGTTTTTGATTGAGATGCCAAATTATAGTTTACTTGCATTCCTGAACAGAAAATTGAATAATTGTTGAATATTATGCTGAATGTTATGGGATCAGTCAAAATGAATGTAATTTTGAATATTATCGTTGCTTCATTTCTGAGAAGTTCAAATTTTGGTATAAAAATGTGAGCTCAGTTTATTATTTCCCTAATTTATGACTAATGCAATTTTTAAACAAGCATTTGACAGATTTCCTCTTTGTGATAAGTGATCAAATACACTTTAAAATATATATTGTAGCGGGTCAGGGCTGTTTGGGGTTTGACAGCTATGTTCTGTTGTTCCAGGCGGCACAGTTATGTTGCCATGATTACAGGTGACGCGCTCTCTCGGCGACTGTGTGTTTCTGGGTGGAGAGAGCGCGTTTTTGTTGTTGTTGTGTTTCTGTGAATGCTAATAAACGGCTGTGCTCCCTGGCTAACTCGCGGGAAGCAAGACCAAAGGACACCTCTGTTTCCTCCTTGTCTGAGCTCGCCACAATATTTTTTTTCTTGATTCTTTCAAATTTCTTCGGATTATCATGCCATATTATGCAACAATGTGAATGTGAATCCAACTAAAAACATTTATGACACTTCTGCCTTTTTCACTTCTCTTCTTTGTTCTCCCCTTCATTTGTGTTCATCCCCCTTTACTTATTCTACAACCCTACTTGTCACACTTCATGTGAAATATGATGGCGCCGGTGAGGTCGGCTGCCGTCACGACTGCTCCGACCACTTTTTCTTTGTCTTTGTTTTTTAAGTTAGTTTTCAGCGTTTCTAAATCGGCAAAATCATCACCATTGGGTACATTAGGTATGACAGTGACACTCTTGTTTCTATTGGTATACAATGTACTCACAATTCTAAGTTTTTAACTCCGGATCCGAGCTGGCCGAGTGAGATCTCGAGGGAGAACAAAGGGAAGCGGTGGCGGCCTAGAGGGAAGCGAGCCGGCGTCAGGAACAGGCTGAGAGCTCGTGCACACCGCACACCTCTGCCTAGCATCCTGCTCGCCAACGTCCAGTCACTGGAGAACAAGCTTGACGACCTCAGGGCCAGGATAAAGTTCCAGAGAGACATTCGGGACTGCAATCTCCTCTGCTTCACCGAGACATGGCTGAACCCAGCGGTGCCGGACCACGCCATCCAGCCGGCCGTGTTCTTCTCGGTTCACCGCATGGACAGGACACGGGACTCGGGGAAGTCAAGGGGAGGCGGCGTGTGTTTAATGGTGAACAACAACTGGTGCAACAGTGCGAACGTTGTTCCTCTCACACGCTCCTGCACACCAAATCTGGAACTACTGTCCATCATGTGTCGTCCTTTTTATCTACCTCGGGAATTTACATCGGTCATTGTAAGTGCCGTTTATATTCCACCACAAGCGGACACGGTCACCGCCTTATGCGAGCTGCATGAGGCACTCACACAGCACCAGACACAACACCGGGACGCTGCGCTTATTGTGACGGGGGACTTTAATAGCGCCCACCTCAAACGCGCAGCGCTGAACTTTTATCAACACATCACCTGCCCCACTAGGGGTGAGAAGACACTGGACCACTGCTAGACTACGGTCAAGGACGGCTACAAGGCACAATCTTGCCCTCCGTTTGGCAAATCTGATCACGCCGCCATCTTCCTCATGCCAAAATACAAACAAAGGCTGAAACAGGAAGTTCTGGTTCAGAAGAAGGTCGCGCGCTGGACAGACCAATTGGTGGCCGCGTTACAGGACGCACTCGACGACGCAGACTGGGGCATGTTCAGAAACAGCTCCGACGATGACGTCAACGTGTTTACGGAAGCGGTTGTGGGATTCATCGGGAAACTAGCGGATGATACAGTGGAGACAAAGACTATCACAACATTTCCCAACCAGAAGCCGTGGGTGGATAAAACCATCCGCGACGCTCTGAGATCCCGCACCGCTGCCTACAACACGGGACTCATGACGGGGGACATGGACCCGTACAAAGCCGCGTCATATAACGTGCGGAGGGCGGTGAAAGAGGCGAAGCAGCGCTACGGGAGGAAACTAGAGTCACAACTCCAACAGAGTGACTCTAGGAGCCTGTGGCGGGGACTAAGGACAATAACGGACTATAAAGCACCAACAACCGGTATGACGAACGCGGCCGTGACTCTGGCAGACGAGCTGAACACTTTCTATGCTCGCTTCGAGGCTGCAGCTAAGGTCTCCAACAATGCTAGTGTTAGCGGCGCTAACGGCTACAGACAGGAAGATACTGCCAGCACCGGAAACGTGCTCGTCATCTCCGAGCATGAAGTAAGGAGAGCCTTCAAGAGAGTGAACACCAGGAAAGCAGCAGGACCAGACGGCATCCCAGGTTGTATCCTAAGAGACTGCGCATACCAGCTAGCTCCTGTGTTCACTGAGATATTCAACATCTCTTTATCTCAGTCGGTGATCCCCACATGCTTCAAAGAGTCCATCATTGTTCCTGTCCCGAAGAAACCCCACCCTGCTTCTCTCAATGACTATCGCCCTGTAGCCCTCACCTCAGTAGTGATGAAGTGCTTTGAACGCCTGGTCAGAGACTTCATCATTTCTTCACTACCAGACACACTGGACCCACTACAGTTCGCTTACCGTCCAAATCGTTCCACAGACGATGCCATCTCTCATCTCCTCCACACATCACTCACTCACTTGGACACTAGAAGGGGGAATTATGTTAAAATGCTCTTCATAGACTACAGCTCTGCATTTAACACCATAATTCCCTCCACACTCACCACCAAGCTGGAGCATCTGGGACTCAGCTCATCTATGTGTCAGTGGATCTCCAACTTCCTAACTGGCAGACCACAGGCAGTAAGGATGGGCGGACATGTCTCAGCCTCCACCACTCTCAGCACTGGAGCCCCCCAGGGGTGTGTTCTGAGCCCCCTGCTGTACTCTTTGTACACATATGACTGTGTGGCCACTACCAGCTTCACCACCATCATCAAGTTTGCTGACGACACCGTCGTGGTGGGCCTGATCTCTGATAACAACGAGACGGCCTACCTGAAGGAGATTAGGAATCTGGAGAACTGGTGCCAGAGGAACAACCTCCTTCTAAACGTCAGTAAGACAAAGGAGCTGATAGTGGACTTCAGCACTAAGCAGGAGAGGAACTACCAGACCCCCGTCATCAACGAGTGCCCAGTGGAGAGAGTGGACAGCTTCAAATACCTCGGAGTTCACATCACGCAGGACCTGTCATGGTCCTGTCACATCAACACCGTGGTGAAAAAGGCCCGTCAGCGTCTCTACCACCTCAGACGCTTGAGAGACTTCCAACTGCCCTCCAAGGTGCTCAAAAACTTTTACTCGTGCACCATAGAGAGCATCCTGGCGGGAAACATCTTAACCTGGTTCGGGAACAGCACCATGCAGGACAGACGAGCTCTACAGAGGGTTGTGCGGTCAGCTGAGCGCACCATCCGCTCCGAGCTCCCTGACCTGCACTCAATCTACAGCAGGCGGTGCTGGACCAAGGCCAGGAAGATCGTGAAGGACCTCAGCCATCCCAACAACAGACTGTTCTCTCTGTTGAGGTCAGGAAAGCGATTCCGCTCCCTGAAGACCAACACAGAGAGACTGAGGAGGAGCTTCTTCCCGCAGGCGATACAGTCTCTCAATCACACCACCACACAGTACTGACCCACACATATGGTTCTTACACACACACTGGACTTTCTGGACTTTGGTTTTGCACAACACTGGTCACTATATTCTTCATTTCCGATTAATACTTGTACAGCTGCTGTTATTGTGTATATATTTATTTATATTTAGATTTCTTCATACATTCTTATATAGTTCTATATTGTGTATTGTGTATTTTGTTGTACAGTTATTTTATTTTCAACTTTAATTTATATATTTATCTTTATCTTATTCTTCCCAGTTAAATTTACCCTTCATTCTAATTTGTGTTGTACAGTTATTTCATTTTTAACCTTAATTTATATTTTATTCCTTCCTAGTTAAATTTACCCTTTTTAATTTTTCATATTTATTTCCTATCTTATTCATAGCCTTTTCCTTTTTTGTTTTCTTTAGGTCACAAGCAGTTGTCCAAGCATTTCACTACATATCGTACTGTGTATGACTGTGTACGTGACAAATAAAATTTGAATTTGATTTGAATTTGATTTGAAGAACCATTAGCTTTATCTGGATAATAGAACATCTCTGAGCAATGTTTGGATTATACACATTTATCTTCCAAGCATTTTAGTTGAACACTAATAAAAAAATAATAAAAAAATGGGGTATCATTCATAAATGTATGGTCCTGTTTCTTTCTGTTCTACTTTACCGTACCATTAATCTCTTATTGTGCAACTGAATATCAGCCTCTTCGAATCACATTCGCTCAACATGAATACACCCATACAATATCTTTGTAGCAGCATGACAAAGCCCCCTGCTCGATTTCATATAAAAACATAAACAAGCACATGTGCACACACTGACACAAGTGTTGTTGTAAAGTAAGTTTTCATGTTGCCTTAGCTGCTGAGATCGATGATGACTCTGTGTATGATGAATGGAGACAGCTATATTATGTTACACACATAACAAATAGACCCTGACTGCAGGGAACACCATCTGATGTCTGCTAATTATAGAGGCTGGAAAACAGAGGTGTACACAGAGGCACGCAATCAACTCATATATCTTTCTTCTATAATGGGGCAGGGCTTTTTTTAGCAGTATAGAGCACAGACACACATAATGTTATATATACATATACATCCAAATGGTCACATGCAAATGGTCACACACAAATGGACGTGTTCTTACCCTACGAGACTGGATCTCTTTCACATATAAAGGCAATAAGAATTCTGACACTCCTTCAAGTCTCACTCCTTCTTTGGTCACCCGGAGATTCCCCATACCATCCTAGAAAAAGGTACGAGATAGAAAAATACAGTTTTTAAAAAGTTAATGACAAGCCAAAACAATACAAATGAAATTCTCATCCAGTGTTTTGCTTTGCTTGTCTATTATATATATTACAAAGGGCACAACGATGTATTATTAAAGTGTACAATGATATTACACACAAGCAGACAAACACACACAGTAATCTGAGAAGTTACACAGTTTTTTTCTTCATTTTATTGTGCATACTGTGTCAGCATGGGAAAAACACTCCCATGCTGGCACAGTTGGAGTGTTTTCCACAAAATTGTTTGAATGCCTATAGTTAATGTGGTTGCCCCTTATTCGTCTACTAATAAATATATTTCATAAAAACAAACATACAAGGGAGCTAAGTTTACAAAATCCAAGCTCCTATGCAACACATGGAGGATAAATAAATAATTTTAAGCTTTTTTTCTTTTGCTTTATCAATTAGTGTGAATAGCAGTACTTGACACAATTATATATACCTGAAGATCTTAAATGGAAATAATTGAAAATATGTTGACAGCTTTTAAGGCTCTGTAGATACCAAATACTGAGTAATATTAGGCACTGACAAGCAGCGTTTATTCTCAAATCCTGGGTTCATCAATGGTCAATATATAAATATTATATTTAATTATCAATGGAGAATCATTATTTTTTATCATTTATTACGTTATCATTTGATTCAACACCAATTATGTTATGTAATTATGAAATAAATAATGACAAACAATGTGTAACTGGAAATAAAGTCATGCTGGATACACATATTCTATTGATTTGGCATTCAGCAACAAAGTCTCATGAGAGCTCTAGTTTTTCTATGCTAACGCAATAGTTGCTTTATCCTAGTCAAAGCAATGGAGTGGCAGATAACCATTTAGTTTACAACACGGAAACAAAACAGTAGAAACAAATTTTAGCTGGTCAGAAAGACATATCAAAGAAATCCATGAAGTTTGGCAAATGAAAAAGAGGATAACTGGAAGAAGGATGTGTTGTGGCAACCATCTTCTAAGAAAGGCTTTGTACTAAAATGAACTTTCTTTCACTTTGCACTGCCTGTGAACTGCTATTAACTTGTATTGCCATTACAATAACTGCCAAGAAAGATTTTGATAATTATAAATTAATGTTTTCCCTAAATTTCTAAAAGCTCTTATGATAACTAAGGGTTATATAAATATGCGCATCACTGCTCTGACTAAATCTGGTTTTATGGTCTCATGAATGTGTCTATATGCGTACATGATACGGGAGGCAGGGGGGGTTTCACCCCCCCCCCCCCCAGACATGCCCCAATGCAGTTCTCCAAGATCCTGACTATGCGATGCTGGAAGCAGATGACAGAAGCGATTGTCGAATGTCAATTGGTTGACAAGTGGGCTGAAATAGAGAAAGGCGCAACAGCAGAGTTCGCCCGGAAGAGTAAAAACTTCAAAGATCAAAAATTACAGCATCAAAAGCACAGACAGAGGCTGCAGTGGAAATTTTCATTGTTTTTAACACTCAGTTCCACTTCTGCACTTTGTATGTCATAACTTTGCTCTCCTTACAAGAGTGGCCCACAGACCTGCTGTACCACATACTTGGTACAATGCCTCCATCTGACAACAAAGCTCACTGCAGGCAGACGTGCTGTCCTACTTCTGCTCGACCATAAAAGCAGCTTCAGGCTTGTGCTTCTGCTCACATTAAAGCAATGTTTCTGATGAGCTTGCTGACTATGTTTGATAAAAATGGCTTAAATTCAGTTCCTTTAAAACAGACATGCCGGGTATGAAGAAAGTCAAGCCTCTAATAGAGTAAAAAGGCATCTCCTGTAGTATATCAGATCAATTATCTCACAACTTAGACATTCACATTACTCACACTCTCATAACATATACATATAGGATCTTAGGGGTGGGCACGCTACACGGACTTCAAATTACCATCAGGGTGTACACCTCACCCCTGACGTCGTTGCCCACCTCTCAATTTTAAATACACGTAGACATTGAGGGCCAGCAGGAGGGGCTATGCGCTTACCTGCTGCTCTCTGGGTTTTAAATGCACCTTAGAATACACATGCATCAACACTACATATGAGCGGGCAGAGGGAGGTTTGGAGTCTTCTCACACCCCCGTTCTCTGCGGCCTGCTGGAGTGGGAGGGCTAGGAGGAGGAGTTGGCCGTCCGACTGCGGTCTGGAATGTGGGGCCTCCCTGCTGCTGCAGAGTCGGGGCAGTCTGCATCTCCCCACCGCAGGGAAAAGGGTAACACCACCTGGGTCAGGCCTCTCGGCCTGGGGCTCGGGCACTCTGGCACAGCTGGCTGCCGGAGGAGCTCCCAGGCACGTCACTATAACCCCCCCTGGCTTATGCTCCGCAGCTGCTGAGTGACCCCTCATCTGGGACTCTCGTCAGCTCTTTCTGGGATACTGGCACGGCTGCCCCTCTGTTGGTCTTCCTTGGTCTCTTGTGTTCTGAGGGCCTCTGGATGTCTGGAGTTTTGATCTCCTCCATACCTGCTTCATGCCCTGGTGGACAGGGCTGTGCCCCCCCCACACCCTCTAGCAGATCATTACATGAAGGAACCTTTTAAAAACAAGCACGTTAATGCTCATACCTTAAAGCACACTGTGTGCTGTCGATCTTACGTGCTGCACAATAATGTTTAACATTTAGTATTTACTGTTATATTCCCATAGATCATCACGATGTTGTTTATTCTATTGCTCTCGTCTTCTTCTGCTTGTTTTCTTTTTTCTTTCTCAACAGGTGATCCAGGAAAAAGAAAAAAGAAACGGTCCGTGGCGCACAAAAGACAGTGATCCAGCTGCTGTCTACTCAGCAGTGACAACTGACGAAGTCAGTTATGGACAAATAACCATCAGACCAAACAAGACCAGAGACTTTAAACCAGAGCCAGACGTCTTCTACTCTTCACTGAAGTAGTCCACCAGTCCAACCATTGACGTCCAGCTGCTGGTCTCTAACTGGTCCCCCCAGCACCTCAGACCAGAGGACATCCCTATGTTCAAGATTTTTACATGTCTTATGTCTTTCTATCACCAAATTAAAAATCTGTCAGCAGATCGGTGGTTAGGAGAGTGCAGAGTCCATAAATGTGTAACAGATGTGTTGAATATAGTGTTGTTAGAGTTTGGTGAGTCTTTTTGATTCCGTAAGAGTTGTTGAGCAGTTATTATTGTCAGTTATTCAGTTATTAAGCATAAAAACAACTCTGAAGGGTTTACTAATCAAAAGAAATGAGTTAAAATGCTTAAAAAAAAGAAGTAAAAAAAATACAAAAATTGGAAAAATGATCAAGAAATTTTAAACAAAGTAAATAGAGGCTGGGGAGATGGCAACTGTCTTACTGTCTCATTACTTCGCAGTGCAATTACTATTTGAAGTTTTATGAGTCAGACAGTCTGTGAAGTGACTTTTTTTCAGAGGTGGAACTAAAACATTCTGTATTGAACCTTTTCCAGCTTCAACTGAAATATGTGTTATTCAGTGACAACAGATTAGTCTTGCCTGCTTGGCTTCCAGTTTCCTTTTCATGCTCAAAATGTTTGACAAAGTGTTCATGGAAATAGTGATTCTGATCCCATTGATTATCATTAATTGTTAGCAACAGCAAAGCAGCAGAGCCTTTCAAATTGTAATAGTGCAAGTTGGTTGTAAGAGCAACTTGGAGAAATTTGTAGGACAAAACAATGAAAACAATGAGTAATGGGGCATACATGAACCCCCCCCAAATAAATATATAATTACCTACCTTACTGTTGGATAACAGTTGGATAACAGTAACCATTCATTAATGAAAAAAAGTAATATTTTTCAAGCCATGCCTTATACCTTCTTTGTTGTAGGTACAAGTATAAAAAGATAATTTTAGCTTGGTGCTATGTGGTTGCTAGAGAATATGAAGATGTCTAATATGTGATATCAATAAGAACCTTCAGCAGCTGAAGATGTATGTGTTTACCAATTCTCATCCTGTAGGAAGAGTTAGTGACCAAAGAAACCTTTTATCTGCCAACATTCTTTAATTACAATGGCTAATAAGAGAATGGAAATCTACATGTTTTGTATGTCTTTTTCAACTAAGTGTGCTTTGCTAAGAAATCTACAGGTGCTTGTCCCCCAAATACCTACTGGAGATACATTTTCTGTGTCATCATTACACAGTAAAGTACACTCCCTTGCCTCTATACTTACTTAGTACTGACTTATTTTGGAAATAAGTGTGAGCTTATGAAACGTCCGAGCTATTGTTGCAGATAGTTTTTTGAAATAGATATTTTTTAATGTTATTTTAACCCTGAACCTCGATTGTTCTAAACCTAACCAAGCCATTTTCTTGCCTACATCAAACCAAAGTGTACCTGAAAACCAGATGCAAAAGAACAAGAAAATAATTCTGTTAGAAAGCCCTTAAGGCAATCTTCTCCCATTTGCACTCTTGGCCTGAGAAGGACCTGAGGGAGGTTTTCAGAATCAATAAACCCTTAAACACAAAACACTTCAGGGTTAACTACTTTTTCACTAATGCTATTTACTTTAAATAAAGAGAATGGTGAAAGGCAAATATATAAAAAAGGCTGCCATATATGAAAATTTTAAAAGATATATCAAATGTCAAAGACACACTTCCTTAAAACCGCAAAGTCTGTGAAATACAATAATGAAGGGTCTTCTTGTGAAAGAGTAACAACCATAAATAAGAAGTTGCCAGGTAGTAATGGTGTTGCTTGCACACAGGTATGATAAAAGAAAAAGCATGATATTCAAAACATGAACTACTGTTTCTTACTCAAGTCATGAAAACATGATGCAGCATTTCAAATACCAGAATGCTTTTAAGACCAGTTAACCTATATTTCTAAAGTAGGGATGTCAAAGTGATTTTACATCGAGGGCCAAAGTGGGCTGGACAAGTAAAACTTCAATTTTTAACTATACACTTAATTCATGGGATATTTTATATTAAGATAA